ATGAGAAAGTCTGTTTCGATTCTTAGAAAGTCCAAGACACAAGCAGGGCAGCATAACATCATGTGGTTCTTTTCAAACTTATTTTTAACTCATGAAACTCCAGTATACAAAACAGACATATGTGTGACGATTTTAGCCAATGTGTGTGGGAACAGGGGAAACCCAGACTGCTGGCCTCCTGCCCTGTGGCAGTTTATGGGGAACCCTCTGAACACAATTTGGAAACAGCTGTTGTAGTTTAAGAATCATGGGCCTTGGATTTAGACCCATTCCACTCCCCAGACACATAAGTAATTTTATAACCTTGGTTATCGGGTTATTTAGCCGCTCTGAGCCTCAGTATCTTCATAGGCAAAACAAAGATGCTATGTATTTCTGTGCGGGCGAGGTCTGACAGTGGCTGGTCCATGGTGGTCACTCCAGCCGTTGTTATTACTGTACTCTCTAGGAAGAAGTGGGGCCTGTTGGTTAGATGGGCAGTCTCAGGGCAAGCATCCAAAATTAGGTTTTCTCAAAAAGGCACTGGACATTTGGACACTGGACATGTGTGTGTAGGAGTGTCTTGCTTTTCTGGAAGGAGCCACTGCAGCCCGCCTGACCCCAGTGACTTGACCTCCCTAGGGTCCTGGTTAGTTCAAAGCCTTGCCCTTTATCTTCTACTCCTGGGGTTCTAGACAGCCAATTTGCATTTTGATCTCTGAAGTAACTACATATGTAAGAAGAGTAGATACCTTCTTTAGAAAATTATAGGTTGTAGATTTTTCCTATATCCCTCAACCTCTTGGGAAAGGAAGATCTTTGCAAGCCCTTAGCCCCATTTCCTGGTGGGTCGGGTACTCTGGCAGTACAGGAAGGATAGGGCTGGGGTTATTGAATCTTTGTGAGCTCGAATCTCTGTCTAGACAGCCCCGCCTCATCCCAGAACCAGCTGTATTTCCATTTCCACAATAGAGGACCTGGCACTCCACTGGGTTTCCAGGCATTTGGGAGGATGGTTTAAAACTAAGTTCCGAGGGGTGCCTGGCTGGCTCAGTCCGTGGAGCATGTGACTCTTGATTTCAGGATTTTAAGTTCTAGCCCCACGCTGGGTATAGAGAATATTTAAACAACAACAACGTTTTAAAAAATAAATACAAATAAAAAATAAATAAAACTAAGTTCTGAGCATCATCCTGTACAAAAACCTTGCTGAAGGCACTGGAGGAAGAAAGTAAAAATAATGAGACAAAGTTACCATTTTTAGGAAGCTATCTGAGGAGTTAAGAAATAGACCCAGGACATAGCTGCAAACCCAGAGGTGAAGCAAGTAGATATGAAATCATAACTGAATAAATGTCCCTCTATAAAGGAAAGGAGTTGGTAGGATAGCATATCCAAAAGCTTTGTATACATGTTAACGGGAGAGGGGAGGCAGCTAGTCATGTTCTGACCTGAAGCTGGGCTTTGGAAATTTGGAATTTGGCTTTGGAATTTGGAAAACTCCAGGAGAAAACACTTAAACTCAGATAAAATGCACATGCCATAAAAATCATCCTTCTCAAAAGACAAATACCATAGGATTTCACTCATATGTAAAATTTAAGAAACAAAACAGATGAACATTTTTTTTTTCAGAGAGCGAGGCAAACCATAGCAGACTCAACTATAGAAAGCCAACTAAGGTTTGTTGGAGGGGAGGTGGCTGGGGAGGTTGGGGCATTGGGGTGATGGGCAAGAAGGAGGGCACTTGGTGTAAGGAGCACTGGGTGTTATATGCAACTGATGAATCACTAAATTCTACCCTTGAAACTAATAATGCAGGATATATTAACTAAATCATATTAAAAAATTAATCCTCCTCAAGAGTACAGTTTAGTGGTTTTTAGTATATTCACAAAGTTGTGCAAATACCAACACTTTGGTGGGTTTTTTAAAAGTTTTTATTTATTATTTATTTAAGTAATCTCTACACACCATGTGGGGCTTGAACTCACAACTCTGAGATCAAGAGTTGTACGCTCTTCAGACTGAGCTAGCCAGGTGCCAATATCAACACTATTTTGAATCTGGAACATTGCATCACCCCAAAAGAAATTCCGTACCCATTAACAGTAGGACTGAAAAAATTTAAATGTCAAATTTAGGTCAGGAAGAGATGGCAAGAGATGCTCATTGAGATTCCGCCCTGGTAAGAAAGCTTTAGAGAGATTATGTCATAAACAAAAAGGTCTGGGACTTTCATGGTCAGAAGCTGGTGCTTAAGCCGGCTCACACCTAGCCATCTGATTTGGTGATATTCCAATCCACAGCATCTGCTTCTGGAATCTGTCAACGCCAACATATTACCTTAGGGTAGCTCATTTCTTTCCCCATATAGGGCAACCATGAGTGGTGTAGGATAGACAAAAGTCAGAGAGTGAGAGAAAAGAAAGAAGATCTCTTCCCAGGACCTACCCATTAAGAGAAAGTCACCAGACCTGTTTGGTAAGAGAAAATGGGTCACTTCCAGAGCTGAGGGAGAGTCACTTGCCCTAACCCAGAGTCTCTGCCTGCTTGCCTTGAAAACCAACACCCTTCCAGGAAAGAAGAGAAAACCGGGGACTCAGAAGGCAGCAGAGTGGTCCTGCCAGCTTCCCCTGTAGAAGTAGCTCTGATAAGAGCCCTTCAATTTCCAGTCCCATGGGTGTGACCAAACTTGGACTCTGGGGAACCTGAGGGGGCTGAACTGAGTTCCCCCTATCTTGCCAGGTAGAGGAGTGACCACTCGATGTCAGGACAGTATCCTCTGGTGGCCCAGGGAGCATGCAGGTCAGCTTTGGCAATAAAGCTACTCCTCGCGGTGTCTGGGTGGCTCAGTGGGTTAAAGCCTTTGCCTTGTGCTCAGGTCCTGGAATCGAGCCCTGCACTGGGCTCTTTGCTCTGCAGAGAGCCTGCGTCCTCCTCGCTCTCTGCCTGCCTCTCCGCCTACTTGTGATCTCTCTCTCTCTGTGTCATATAAATAAATAAAATTAAAAAAACAAACAAACTTGAATTTAAAAAATAATAATAAAGCTACTCCTCGGGACCAGGCCTGACAATTGGTACGGAAATGGATCAACCCTAGACTACTGATGCTGGAAGGTTTAATAATAGTTAACATGTATTAAACATGCACTGTGGACTACTTTAGGCACATTTATTTTCTCAAACTTCATAGCAACTCTTTAGGTACAGTTTTTCAATCCCCACTTTACAAAAGAGGGCACAAGCGAAAAGCAGAGTCTTGACCAAGGAGGGCTGGGATTCGAACCCAAGGCAGTTTTGACACCCCAGTTTTTGTCAAGACTTTTGCCCAAACCCTTTGATACTGAAGGGGAACCTGAGACCCAGGGAAGGTTCTAATGGCTTTTCCAAGGTCGCAGAGTCAGTCGGGGACACAGTCCAAGCCCATCGGTTCAGGGCTGCCTGGATCCTGGAAGGTAGTGGGGACGCACTGGTGGCCGGGCGGCCAACCCTGCCCGCCTGCCCAGGCTGGGCAACGCCAGCAGAGCAGATGACTCAAAGGGCGGGGACTCCTTTTGCCGCACGGCCCCGCCCGGTCCCGCTGCTCCGTGCATGCGGAGCTCTCGGGCTGAACGGGTGGCAACTTGTCTGAGTGAAACCGGGAAAGCGCTGCCCCTGGGGCTTGGCGGACTGCGCGGTGAACCCCTCACTCCGGCTGCGCGTCGCGACGCCGGCGGGGCCGGGCGGTCGAAGGGAAGACACACCCCGCGCGTTCCGCCGCGCTCTCCCCCATTGGCTCGTCGGGTTCCGGGGGCGGGTCCCTGAGCAGCTCTCTCCCGAAATTGGACGATATCGGCCTCGGGCCCGCCTCCAGCCCCAGGCGGTGAAGGCGGGAGCGAGCAAGGCGGCAGAGGGTCCCGGCGTGTCGGAGCTGGCGGTGAGGCGCGGAGGCGGCGAGCCGGACTGGCTTGGGGGGGGCCTCTGCTCCCCGCGGCCCTTCCCACCCAGCTCGCGGCTCCTCCTCGCCTGCCGCTCTCATTTTGTCCCCGCGTCCGAACGCTGGGGCGGGGGCTTCCCCTCTCCTCAGATAAGGGCTTTTAATGGCGGCGTCATGCCCCTGTCCAGATTGTGCTCCCCTTCTCTCGGATTGGAGCGCTTGATGGGACTCTTCCTCGTTTTCCGATCTGGGATGCCCCCCCACAGCCTATCCCTGCAGCACGGACCTGACACTCCCTGCTTTCCTGTCCCCTCAGATCTGGTTCTTCGGCCTCCTGCCCTGGGCCCCTTCCGAGCAGCGTCAGAGCCGCCTTTGCGCTCTCCTGTCCCTCCGGGGTCCAGACCAGTTTGTGGGGGGTCCCCCTGGGAAGCTGGACCCCCACCCCTCAGCCTCTCACCTGGAGTCACTGGCTCCAAAGTCTTGCCTGTGGGTCACTGAGCCAGCCCCGTGAGAGGTCAGGGCCCTAAATCAGAAGCAAAAGTCAAGGTCTCCGTAAATCATAAGCCAGTCCCTGTCCCATCCCTCCACCAATAACTGGAAGAGACAGAAGGAGTGTCACAGGGGAACTTTATTGAGAGAAAACAGGGTCACACCCAGCAGACATGCTTTCCCTGTCATTCTGGGTCGTACACTCACTCGCTCTCACTCTCTCAGTCTCTCACACACTCATCTGCCATACAGTCCAGCTCTCAGGCGCAAGGGTGGGACACTCCTCAATTCCTAAGTTTCAGAGGTGAACGGGGTGGGAAGGAGGCAGGAGGGGTTAGAGGTGGCCCAGTTGGCGGTGGGGTTTGGAGGAGGGGTGCAGAGAGCAGGGGTGGGTGGGCTGACCCCTGGCGAGGAGCTCCCACAGCTGCAGGCAGAGCGGGACCCCCTGGCTCCAGCTGGCCTCAGCTCTGCTGGTCCCTCTCCTCGGAGCTCTTGTGAGCAGGGTGCAGAGCGTTCGGGGAGAGGGGTCGGGCCTCCCACCCCTACTAGTCCTCTCTGCCACGGTGGGGGTGCTGGGGAGGGCAGGGCGCGGCAGGGAGGGGGCGGCCTTGGCTCAGCTCTGGGGTTCCTCGGGAGCCTCTCCAGCCTCTTCCCCGGCGTTGTCGGCGGTCCACAGCGTCAGGTTGTCTCGCAGCAGCTGCATGATGAGGGTGCTGTCTTTGTAGGAGTCCTCGCTGAGGGTGTGCAGGTCAGCCATGGCCTCGTCGAAGGTGGTCTTGGCCAGTGAGATGGCCTCCTCGGGGCTGTTGGCAATCTCATAGTGGAAGACTGAAAAGTTCAGGGCCAGGCCCAGGCGGATGGGGTTGGTGGGTGGCATCTCCTTCTTGCTGATGTCCATGGCCTCCTGGTAGGCCGACCGGGCTGAGTCAATGATGCGCTTCTTGTCATCACCGGTGGCCACCTCAGCCAGGTAGCGGTAGTAGTCGCCCTTCATTTTCAGGTAGAACACCCGACTTTCGGCATCACCTGCCTCCTTGATGAGGTGGGTGTCCAGCAGGCCCAGCACCGTGTCACACACGCCCCGGAGCTCAGTCTCCACCTTCTCCCGGTACTCTCGCACCTCAGGGCCCTTCTCTTCCGAGCCCTCTTCGTTGCCTTTCTGCTCGATACTGGACAGGACCCTCCAGGCAGCCCTCTGGCCACCCACCACATTCTTGTAGGCCACTGACAGCAGATTTCGCTCTTCGCAGGATAGCTCCTCACCCTTTTCCACGGCGCTCTTCATGAAGGCTGCCATGTCCTCATAGCGTTCAGCCTGCTCTGCCAACTTGGCCTTCTGGATCAGACTGGCTCTCTCCATGGCTCTGGCGACAGACAGGCAGGCGGCGGGCTAACTGACTGCCTTGAAACCAACAC